AGACCAGAGAGAGACTAGAGAGAGACCAGAGAGAGACCAGAGAGAGACAAGCTAAACGATCAATAACACAATAAAATTAATAATAATAAAGAAGCTAGTAACTGGTCACGTGATTTAACAATGAGGTGTTTTAATGCGATGTTAGCTAGCTTACTTCAACTGTTAGCTTCCCTGTCCGGACTCATCCACCTTCATCTGTTTTGACAATAAACAAGCATCTCATAGTTTCTGCAACTTCATGGAGTCAAAACAGTTAAGTCCATAAACTCTGCTCTGACAACAGTCTGCTCTCTGGTCTCTCTTCTCTTTGGTCTCTCTCTGGTCTCTCTCTGGCCTCTCTCTGGTCTCTCTCTGGTCTCTCTCTGGTCTCTCTCTGGCCTCTCTCTGGTCTCTCTCTGGCCTCTCTCTGGTCTCTCTCTGGTCTCTCTCTGGTCTCTCTCTCTGGCCTCTCTCTGGTCTCTCTCTGGTCTCTCTCTGGCCTCTCTCTGGTCTCTCTCTGGTCTCTCTCTCTGGCCTCTCTCTGGTCTCTCTCTCTGGCCTCTCTCTGGTCTCTCTCTGGTCTCTCTCTGGTCTCTCTCTGGTCTCTCTCTCTGGTCTCTCTCTGGTCTCTCTCTCTGGCCTCTCTCTGGTCTCTCTCTGGCCTCTCTCTGGTCTCTCTCTGGTCTCTCTCTGGTCTCTCTCTGGTCTCTCTCTCTGGTCTCTCTCTGGTCTCTCTCTCTGGTCTCTCTCTGGTCTCTCTCTGGTCTCTCTCTGGCCTCTCTCTGGTCTCTCTCTGGTCTCTCTCTCTCTGGCCTCTCTCTGGTCTCTCTCTCTGGCCTCTCTCTGGTCTCTCTCTAGTCTCTCTCTAGTCTCTCTCTGGTCTCTCTCTGGTCTCTCTCTGGCCTCTCTCTGGTCTCTCTCTGGTCTCTCTCTGGTCTCTCTCTGGTCTCTCTCTGGTCTCTCTCTGGCCTCTCTCTGGTCTCTCTCTGGTCTCTCTCTGGTCTCTCTCTGGTCTCTCTCTCTGGACTCTCTCTGGTCTCTCTCCGGTCTCTCTCTGGTCTCTCTCTGGTCTCTCTCTGGTCTCTCTCTGGCCTCTCTCTGGTCTCTCTCTCTGGACTCTCTCTGGTCTCTCTCTGGTCTCTCTCTCTGGCCTCTCTCTGGTCTCTCTCTGGACTCTCTCTGGTCTCTCTTTGGTCTCTCTCTCTGGTCTCTCTCTCTGGTCTCTCTCTCTGGTCTCTCTCTGGTCTCTCTCTGGTCTCTCTCTGGTCTCTCTCTGGTCTCTCTCTCTGGTCTCTCTCTCTGGACTCTCTCCGGTCTCTCTCTGGTCTCTCTTTGGTCTCTCTCTCTGGTCTCTCTCTGGTCTCTCTCTGGACTCTCTCTGGTCTCTCTTTGGTCTCTCTCTCTGGTCTCTCTCTCTGGTCTCTCTCTGGTCTCTCTCTGGTCTCTCTCTGGTCTCTCTCTGGTCTCTCTCTGGTCTCTCTCTCTGGACTCTCTCCGGTCTCTCTCTGGTCTCTCTTTGGTCTCTCTCTCTGGTCTCTCTCTGGTCTCTCTTTGGTCTCTCTCTCTGGTCTCTCTCTGGTCTCTCTCTCTGGTCTCTCTCTGGTCTCTCTCTGGTCTCTCTCTGGTCTCTCTCTCTGGTCTCTCTCTGGTCTCTCTCTCTGGACTCTCTCCGGTCTCTCTCTGGTCTCTCTTTGGTCTCTCTTTGGTCTCTCTCTCTGGTCTCTCTCTGGTCTCTCTTTGGTCTCTCTCTCTGGTCTCTCTCTGGACTCTCTCTGGTCTCTCTCTGGTCTCTCTCTCTGGCCTCTCTCTGGTCTCTCTCTGGACTCTCTCTGGTCTCTCTCTGGTCTCTCTCTGGTCTCTCTCTGGTCTCTCTCTGGTCTCTCTCTGGACTCTCTCTGGTCTCTCTCTGGTCTCTCTCTGGTCTCTCTCTGGTCTCTCTCTGGTCTCTCTCTGGTCACTCTCTGGTCTCTCTCTGGTCTCTTTCTGGTCTCTCTCTGGTCTCTTTCTGGTCTCTCTCTGGTCTCTCTCCATGAAGTCTCTGCAACTTCATGGAGTCAAAACAGTTAAGTCCATAAACGGTGTTCTGACAACAGTCTGCTCTCTGCTCTGCGAGTTGGAGCAAAACTTCATCCATGAGCACTTCTCTTGAGCTATAGCAGGTTAGCATCGTCCTTCCATACACAAGCCCATGCGGCTAACACACAGAAGCTAGCAGCAGTGTGGAGTTAACTAGGCTTCATTTAACGCACAGCATCAGGAAATATTCACAAAGACAATAGTTTTCTTCAGGAAGGACACATGTTGACGAGAGGAGGCTACTTCCTGTCCCGCCGGAGGAACCGCACGCTAGCTGAAGAAGCTAGGTCAGGACTGAAGGGGGACAGGAGGAAGTCATGCCAGGAAGTGTATCCTGTGAACCAATGCAAAAATATAACACAACCATCGTGCAAGATCGCAAAGTCGGATTTGTTCACGAGACACAAAAAGTTAGTGTTAGTCAAATTAGGACTGGCCCTACTCGACTCGACTCGACTCTACCTGGTTGTTTTTCCATTACGCTTTAGTATCTGGTACCGTGCTATAGCATAGAAGAGATTAAAGTATAAGAGCCCTAACGTTAGCATAATAAAGAAGCAAGTATACAATCTCTAGAGTTAGCATAATATAGAAGCTAGTTTAAAATCTCTAGCATTAGCATAATAAAGAAGCTAGAATAAAATCTCTATCCATCCATCCATCCATTTTCTTCCGCTTTATCCGTTGCCGGGTCGCGGGGGCAGCAGTCTAAGCAGAGACGCCCAGACTTCCCTATCCACACACACTTCCTCCAGCTCGTCCGGGGGGACCCCAAGGCGTTCCATAGGTGAGGGAGGGAACGAAGATTGACCGGTAAATTGAGAGCTTTGCCTTTCGGCTCAGCTCCCTCTTTACCACAACGGTCCGATACAGCGACCGCATCACTGCGCACGCTGCACCGATCCGCCTTCAATCTCACGCTCCATCCTTCCCTCACTCGTGAACAAGACCCCGAGATACTTGAACTCCTCCACTTGAGGAAGGACCTCTCCACCCACCTGCAGAGGGCAAGGCACCTTTTTCCGGTCGAGCACCATGGCCTCAGATTTGGAGGTGCTGATTCTCATCCCAGCCGCTTCACACTCGGCTGCAAACCGTCCCAGTGCATGCTGCAGGTCCTGGTTCGTTGGAGCCAACAGGACGACATCGTCCGCAAACAGCAGAGATGAGATCCTGTGGTCTCCGAACCGGACCCCCTCAGACCCCTGGCTGTGCCTAGATATTCTGTCCATAAATACAGTGAACAGAACCGGTGACAAAGGGCAGCCCTGTCGGAGGCCAACATTCACCGGGAACAGGTCTGACTTACTGCTGATGCGAACACAGCTCTGGCTCCGGTCATACAGGGACCGGACGGCCCTCAGCAGAGGACCCCGGACCCCGTACTCCCGGAGGACCCCCCAAAGGACACCCCGGGGAACACAGTCGAACGCCTTCTCCAAATCCACAAAGCACATGTGGACAGGTTGGGCGAACTCCCATGAACCCTCGAGTATCCGATGGAGAGTGTAGAGCTGGTCCAGTGTTCCGCGACCGGGACGAAAACCACACTGCTCCTCCTGAATCCGAGATTCGACCATCGGCCGTAGCCTCCTCTCCAGTACCTTGGAGTAGACCTTACCGGGCAGGCTGAGGAGTGTGATCCCACGATAATTGGAACACACCCTCCGGTCCCCCTTCTTGTAGAGAGGGACCACCACCCCGGTCTGCCACTCCATTGGCACTGCCCCCGATCGCCACGCGATGTTGCAGAGACGTGTCAGCCAAGACAGTCCTACAACATCCAGAGACTTTAGATAATCAGGACGGATCTCATCCACTCCCGGCGCCTTGCCACCATGGAGGCTACCAACCACCTTGGTGACCTCAGCCAGGGAGATGGATGTATCTGCCCCAACATCCTCAGCCTCTGCCTCTGTAACAGAGGACGTGACGGGGGGATTGAGGAGAACCTCAAAGTATTCCTTCCACCGCCCGACAATATCCCCAGTCGAGGTCAGCAGCTCTCCACCCGCACCGTACATGGTGTTGGCAAAGAACTGCTTCCCCCTCCTGAGGCGCCGGATGGTTTGCCAGAATCTCTTCGTGGCCGACCGATAGTCATGCTCCATGGACCCTCCGTTAGCATAATATAGAAGCTAGTATAAAATCTCTAGCGTTAGCATAATAAAGAAGTTAGTATAAAATCTCTAGCGTTAGCCTAATAAAGAAGTTAGTATAAAATCTCTAGCGTTAGCATAATAAAGAAGCTAGAACAAAATCGTTAGCTTTAGCATAATAAAGAAGCTAGTATAAAATCTCTAGCTTTAGCATAATAAAGAAGCTAGTATAAAATCTCTAGCGTTAGCATAATAAAGAAGCTAGTATAAAATCTCTAGCGTTAGCATAATAAAGAAGCTAGTACAAAATCTCTAGCTTTAGCATAATAAAGAAGCTAGTATAAAATGTCTAGCTTTAGCATAATAAAGAAGCTAGTATAAAATGTCTAGCTTTAGCATAATAAAGAAGCTAGCATAAAATCTCTAGCGTTAGCATAATAAAGAAGCTAGTATAAAATCTCTAGCGTTAGCATAATAAAGCTAGTATAAAATCTCTAGCGTTAGCATAATAAAGCTAGTATAAAATCTCTAGCGTTAGCATAATGAAGAAGCAAGAATGAAGTATAAATCTCTGACAATAAGGTCTAATCTAATCTTGGTTTAACTTTTATGTCTTTTTCGTGTGTTTGTCGCCTCTGATTGACAAACTGCATCTGTTTTCTGTCTCCGTGTCACTTCCTTCTTCTGTTTCCCATAATAGATTTTCTGTCACAACACCAAAGGCTTTTGTTAGCATTCCACCCACACGTCAAAAAATACTCTTAATCTCGATACTCGATACTTCACAACTTACCATTTGAAATCCAACCCCGCGCTCCCGGTAACCGCCGACGGAAATCTACACCAATGGAAATCTACACCGATGGAAATCTACACCGATGGAAATCTACACCGACGGAAATCTACACCGATGGAAATCTACACCGACGGAAATCTACACCGACGGAAATCTACACCGACGGAAATCTACACCGACGGAAATCTACACCGATGGAAATCTACACCGATGGAAATCTACACCGATGGAAATCTACACCGACGGAAATCTACACCGATGGAAATCTACACCGATGGAAATCTACACCGATGGAAATCTACACCGACGGAAATCTACACCAATGGAAATCTACACCGATGGAAATCTACACCGATGGAAATCTACACCGACGGAAATCTACACCGATGGAAATCTACACCGACGGAAATCTACACCGACGGAAATCTACACCGACGGAAATCTACACCGACGGAAATCTACACCGATGGAAATCTACACCGATGGAAATCTACACCGATGGAAATCTACACCGACGGAAATCTACACCGATGGAAATCTACACCGACGGAAATCTACACCGACGGAAATCTACACCGATGGAAATCTACACCGACGGAAATCTACACCGATGGAAATCTACACCGACGGAAATCTACACCGACGGAAATCTACACCGACGGAAATCTACACCGACGGAAATCTACACCGATGGAAATCTACACCGATGGAAATCTACACCGATGGAAATCTACACCGACGGAAATCTACACCGACGGAAATCTACACCGATGGAAATCTACACCGATGGAAATCTACACCGACGGAAATCTACACCGACGGAAATCTACACCGACGGAAATCTACACCGATGGAAATCTACACCGATGGAAATCTACACCGATGGAAATCTACACCGATGGAAATCTACACCGACGGAAATCTACACCGATGGAAATCTACACCGACGGAAATCTACACCGACGGAAATCTACACCGATGGAAATCTACACCGACGGAAATCTACACCGATGGAAATCTACACCGACGGAAATCTACACCGACGGAAATCTACACCGACGGAAATCTACACCGACGGAAATCTACACCGACGGAAATCTACACCGATGGAAATCTACACCGATGGAAATCTACACCGACGGAAATCTACACCGATGGAAATCTACACCGATGGAAAAGCCCTGATTTAAGTGTAACCTGAAGCATACACTGCAAAAAGGGACGGAAAAATAAGTAAAAAATGGCAAAAATTTGGCAAAGTGCATCGTAATTTGAGCAAAATGATCTTGTTTTGAAAAGATACAAAAAAATTGAAGAAATAATTTGACTAATTTCTCATAGATTTTCATTTAAAGTCAGTGTTATTTTTCTAGTTTTGAGAGAGGCTAAATTTGCAAACAGCTCTACACACTGCAAAAAAAAAAAAAGATCAAATATGAGGTATGCTTAAATCAAGTGTTTTTGTGTTTTTTAGTATTATTATTATTATTTTTTTAAATCTTAATAGGAGTTCATTGTGACTGTGTTTAAACCAGATTCTACAATGTCATAATGCCATTTCGTTTTTTTTCCAGAACTATTGCTTTATTTCCTCATTCCAAAGGAGAAAATCTTTGTTTTAAGGCTCAGTCAGAATGTGTCAGATTAAGACACATTTTGCCAAATTTGAGCCATTTTTGACTTATTTTCCATAACTTTTGGCAGTGTATTGAATGAGAGAATAGCCGCAGTTTTTGAAATCAGACTAAATGGCTTTGTCCCGTTGGAGAATCTTGTTTAACACAGTCAGAATGTGTCAGAGTGAGGCAAGGCAAGTTTATCTGTATAGCACAATTCATACACAAGGCAACTCAAAGTGAACAAGAAAAGACAAGATACAGATAAAGATAAAAACCACTGGAATCATACATGTCATTACTCACATTTTTTATATATTTTTTTTCAGTGTAGGAGCTGTTTCTCAAAACTAGAAAAATACAGATTTGAAGTGAAAAGCACTAGAAATAATCTGCCAGTGGTTTTTACTAATCCAGAAATGTTAAAATGAGTAACAATAGCAACAGAAGTTTGACACATCAGTCACAATGTGCTAAAACTAAGATACATTTAGCATTTTTTGGCTAATCTTTGATCATGTTTTTTGCAGTGTGTCTGTGTTTGCTGCTGTTCAGAGACTCGACCACAGAACCTGCCCCTGGCTCTGACTCGTAAAGTTTACAAAGTGACCTGCGAGAGCGAGACACCTGGAACTGATGATGTGCAGTCCTGCTGTTTTGGCAACGTGGCAGAGGCAGCCTCCACGGGCAGAGAGCAGAGGGGCAGAGAGCAGAGGGGCAGAGGGGCAGAGAGCAGAGGGGCAGAGAGCAGAGGGGCAGAGAGCTAAGGGGCAGAGAGCAGAGGGGCAGAGAGCAGAGGGGCAGAGAGCAGAGGGGCAGAGAGCAGAGGGGCAGAGACCAGAGGGGCAGAGAGCAGAGGGGCAGAGAGCAGAGGGGCAGAGAGCAGAGGGGCAGAGAGCAGAGGGGCAGAGACCAGAGGGGCAGAGAGCAGAGGGGCAGAGAGCAGAGGGGCAGAGAGCAGAGGGGCAGAGAGCTGAAGGGCAGAGAGCAGAGGGGCAGAGAGCAGAGGGGCAGAGAGCAGAGGGGCAGAGAGCTGAAGGGCAGAGAGCAGAGGGGCAGAGACCAGAGGGGCAGAGAGCAGAGGGGCAGAGAGCAGAGGGGCAGAGAGCAGAGGGGCAGAGAGCAGAGGGACAGAGAGCAGAGGGGCAGAGAGCTGAGGGGCAGAGAGCAGAGGGGCAGAGAGCAGAGGGGCAGAGAGCAGAGGGGCACAGAGCAGAGGGGCAGAGAGCTGAGGGGCAGAGAGCAGAGGGGCAGAGACCAGAGGGGCAGAGAGCAGAGGGGCAGAGAGCTGAGGGGCAGAGACCAGAGGGGCAGAGAGCAGAGGGGCAGAGAGCAGAGGGGCAGAGAGCTGAGGGGCAGAGAGCAGAGGGGCAGAGACCAGAGGGGCAGAGAGCAGAGGGGCAGAGAGCAGAGGGGCAGAGAGCAGAGGGGCAGAGAGCTGAGGGGCAGAGAGCAGAGGGGCAGAGAGCAGAGGGGCAGAGAGCAGAGGGGCAGAGAGCAGAGGGGCAGAGAGCAGAGGGGCAGAGAGCTAAGGGGCAGAGAGCAGAGGGGCAGAGACCAGAGGGGCAGAGAGCAGAGGGGCAGAGAGCAGAGGGGCAGAGAGCTGAGGGGCAGAGAGCAGAGGGGCAGAGAGCAGAGGGGCAGAGAGCAGAGGGGCAGAGACCAGAGGGGCAGAGAGCTGAGGGGCAGAGAGCAGAGGGGCAGAGACCAGAGGGGCAGAGAGCAGAGGGGCAGAGAGCTGAGGGGCAGAGACCAGAGGGGCAGAGAGCAGAGGGGCAGAGAGCAGAGGGGCAGAGAGCAGAGGGGGCAGAGAGAGCAGAGGGGGCAGAGAGCTGAGGGGCAGAGACCAGAGGGGCAGAGAGCAGAGGGGCAGAGAGCAGAGGGGCAGAGAGCAGAGGGGCAGAGAGCAGAGGGGCAGAGAGCAGAGGGGCAGAGACCAGAGGGGCAGAGAGCAGAGGGGCAGAGAGCAGAGGGGCAGAGGGCTGAGGGGCAGAGAGCTGAGGGGCAGAGAGCAGAGGGGCAGAGAGCAGAGGGGCAGAGACCAGAGGGGCAGAGAGCTGAGGGGCAGAGAGCAGAGGGGCAGAGACCAGAGGGGCAGAGAGCAGAGGGGCAGAGAGCTGAGGGGCAGAGACCAGAGGGGCAGAGAGCAGAGGGGCAGAGAGCAGAGGGGCAGAGAGCAGAGGGGCAGAGAGCAGAGGGGCAGAGAGCAGAGGGGCAGAGAGCAGAGGGGCAGAGAGCTGAGGGGCAGAGAGCTGAGGGGCAGAGAGCAGAGGGGCAGAGAGCAGAGGGGCAGAGAGCAGAGGGGCAGAGAGCAGAGGGGCAGAGAGCTGAGGGGCAGAGAGCAGAGGGGCAGAGAGCTGAGGGGCAGAGAGCAGAGGGGCAGAGAGCAGAGGGGCAGAGAGCAGAGGGGCAGAGAGCAGAGGGGCAGAGAGCAGAGGGGCAGAGACCAGAGGGGCAGAGAGCAGAGGGGCAGAGAGCTGAGGGGCAGAGACCAGAGGGGCAGAGAGCAGAGGGGCAGAGACCAGAGGGGCAGAGAGCAGAGGGGCAGAGAGCTGAGGGGCAGAGAGCAGAGGGGCAGAGACCAGAGGGGCAGAGAGCAGAGGGGCAGAGAGCAGAGGGGCAGAGAGCAGAGGGGCAGAGAGCTGAGGGGCAGAGAGCAGAGGGGCAGAGAGCAGAGGGGCAGAGAGCAGAGGGGCAGAGAGCAGAGGGGCAGAGAGCAGAGGGGCAGAGAGCAGAGGGGCAGAGAGCTAAGGGGCAGAGAGCAGAGGGGCAGAGACCAGAGGGGCAGAGAGCAGAGGGGCAGAGAGCAGAGGGGCAGAGAGCTGAGGGGCAGAGAGCAGAGGGGCAGAGAGCTGAGGGGCAGAGAGCAGAGGGGCAGAGACCAGAGGGGCAGAGAGCAGAGGGGCAGAGAGCTGAGGGGCAGAGACCAGAGGGGCAGAGAGCAGAGGGGCAGAGAGCAGAGGGGCAGAGAGCAGAGGGGCAGAGAGCAGAGGGGCAGAGAGCTGAGGGGCAGAGACCAGAGGGGCAGAGAGCAGAGGGGCAGAGAGCAGAGGGGCAGAGAGCAGAGGGGCAGAGAGCAGAGGGGCAGAGAGCAGAGGGGCAGAGAGCAGAGGGGCAGAGACCAGAGGGGCAGAGAGCAGAGGGGCAGAGAGCAGAGGGGCAGAGGGCTGAGGGGCAGAGAGCTGAGGGGCAGAGAGCAGAGGGGCAGAGGGCTGAGGGGCAGAGAGCTGAAGGGCAGAGAGCTGAGGGGCAGAGACCAGAGGGGCAGAGACCAGAGGGGCAATTACCCAGGAGTGGGCAAGGCAGGGCAGGGTTATTTGTATGGCACAATTCATACACAGGGCAACTCAAAATGCTGAACAAGATAGCATTAAAATCATGAATAATCACATTTAAAAGAAATATAAAATCCCTCAGTTGTATTTGCAGCTAAACAGAACTTAAACATCGTCAGAGAAGAGTCTCACATCTTCAGGAAGATTGTTCTAGATTTTTGCTGCATGAATCTGACATGCAGCCTCCCCATGTTTAGTTCTGACTCTATTGTTTAGTGCTACTGCTACTGCTACTGCTGCTGCTACTGCTGCTACTGCTGCTGCTGCTGCTGCTGCTGCTACTGCTGCTGCTGCTGCTGCTGCTGCTACTGCTGCTACTGCTGCTACTGCTGCTGCTGCTGCTACTGCTGCTGCTGCTGCTACTGCTGCTGCTACTGCTACTGCTGCTGCTGCTACTGCTGCTGCTGCTGATGCTGTTTGGTTGGATGTGGCGGCAGCTGGACCCCACCGCTGTCAGACTGTACAATAAGTCGTGTTTAGTCACTGAGGACCTGCACTAGGACAGAAAATATAGTCACTTTGTTTCTGTTCATGATTATATCCTTTTAACCTTCCACAGGTTGCACACTTCCTGTTTTGTGAGATCAATAAAGTTGATCTTATCTTAAAAAAACAGTTAAAACACAAGAGCAGCGGCGTTTCCTCACGACTGTGGGACACTGAACACAAACACAAACCCCAGAGCAGTCAATATGACGGCTTTTAGTTTAGAAAGTGTATCAGCGTGTCCATGTTTGATCTTCATGACTTTGTGACTTTCTCTGTTTCTAAAGTTTATTTCTACGTCATTATGTTCAGGAAATGATCTTGTATTTTTAAACGTGAGGAGTTCTGTCTTTAGAAACCTCAGAGCAGTCATTTTGATGGCTCCATTTATTTCAGTGTGAATTGTTTGATCTTCATAACTTTGTAACTTTTTTGGTTTCTATATTTTTTGTCATTTTTTGTGTGCTAACTTATGACTGTCCTGTTAGTGCGCTGCAACACAGAACTTTCCCCACTGTGGGATGAACAAAGTTTATCTCATCATGTCTTATTATGATTATTGCTTATTAAAATATTCTAGTTTTGTTTTATCTGTTGTATATTAGTCTCACATTTGTAAAGGGAGCAGCAGGTTTCACTTTGGTCCTAGCACAGAATGGAACAGATCAGTTTGTGACTGTAGTCTGCTCTGTGTTCTCTGTGAGGCCTCTACAGTCTGCTCTGTGTTCTCTGTGAGGCCTCTACAGTCTGCTC